TAGACTTATGTCATCCTCAAGGCACAGGGGACCCAATCTGCTCAGCCTTTAAGTAGGTCTCATGAGGATTCTGTCTCCAGGACAGTGCTAGGTGCTAACGCAAGTGTTAATAACTTTCAGTATTAAGTACTGTCTGRGGAATTTTTCACCTTTTCCTCCCCCTTTACTTTCTGCCTAAACAAAACTATTAATAGCAGGGAGGAACAGTCAAGCGCTTGCAAGACACCAGTGGATCACATTCTTACCCTGCACTTTCATCTGCTTCCAGAGGCCGATTATTCTTCAAAAAGACATTTTAGACATACACAGATCAAAATAATTACTTGCAAAGTTATATTAATAGTGTTAAGGAAGAACTGTCAGAGACCTGAAAATACCCTAACACTCATGATGAGCTACACATTGGAAGCGTTTTATAGAAAGAACAAAACTGAAAGAAGAAAAGTAAGTGTGGTTTTCCCTAGAGGGCCAACTCTGCAGCACTGCCTGCAGTTGAGTTTGCTCAACTCTGTGAACTTTGTAGGTGACACAGTAGGTTTGCAGAGACTGTTTGTGTATTTTCCTGCTAAACTCTTATCCTTGTTTGGAGCAGAAGTATTTATGGATCTTCCTCCAACTACAGAGACAGTGGGATTTCTGAGGCCTTGCACAGTGTGGCACATTCTCAAATAGGGTATCTCACTGAGAGGTGCATAAAACCCCGTGCGATCTGAAAATTGAGAGGTGTTTATCAACAGGGAGCAAAGACCTAGGCAGGGCACAGGATCGGCTGAAGAAATCAGCAAGCACAACATAGCAATTGATGCTATATATGATGCCATAAATGATGAGAAAAAAAAAAAAAAGGACTCCCCCCGCCCTTCAAATGCCAGGAATGTGACTTTTCAAATATCCAGATGTTGATTTCCCCAAATTTTTAAAATTAAAAAAAAAGGGGAAATTATCATTCAATGCTGGCTGAGCCTGACCCAAGGAATGTTGCAAAGTGTCTTCCACAAACCGAAAACCATCTTCCACTGTGCCCGAGCAGCTGAGCTTGGAGCCTCTCTCCTGCATAGGTTAGCCAAGTCAAGCCTCAGTCTAGCTCTCACTCTACCATGTCTTTAAAGCAGGAGATTTCACCTGCTCTGGGATCTCCAGAGATGGCAGCAGCACTTTGTATAACTCACTGCCAAAAAACTGGGCAGCACAGAACATCACGATGCACTGCTGCAACAGAAGATTCTGAGCATATCTTCTTTCATATCCTCTGGAGAGCTGAAAAGTAATAGGATCAAAGCAGGAATCTCAGCTGGAAAGAGCAGGTAGGCATTTCACACATTTTTTTCACCCACTATTTTTCTCATTCCARTTTTTCATGCCTTTTTAGCCACTCAGAGCTATCATATTTCAAGATGCTATTCAGATATTCTGTAGAAAATCTTATCATGAAGAAAAGTCATTAAGACTAAACAGTGAGCTGTCTTTGGCTGTGGACATGCCCAGAGGACTAGATGAAGCCTGCGTCTTGGCAGAAGCCAGCAGAGAGAAACTGCTGGTCTGTTCTTCAGTAACTATCACACAGGACAGCAAGAAACCATGGGAAAAGGCTGCAGAAGGAAGCTCATCCAGCCATCCATCATCCAAGTGACAGAACATCACCAAGGGCCCCGGGGAAGACATTTTCTATTCAGGAGCATGGGGAGGCAGAGGGAGGGAGCGCAGAGGGAGAGCTCGTTGAGCACATGCACAGAAATAAAAGACAGCACTGGCCAAGCTCCAGAGATGAAATTCTGGCCCCACTGAAGTGGGTGGGAACTCTGCCACCAGATTTCAGTGGAGAATGGATTTCACCCAATGTGAACAGTATTCTGGAAATATCCTCCCTCCAGACACGCTGTGGGAGCTCATCTGGCTTTGAATTCTCACTGGAAACATCGAAAGGAGGAACTGACTTCTGCAGCAATGAAATTAAATCCAAAATGAGGAAATAATACCAGAACAATTAATCAACAAACAATAGGGATGCGATGACAGTCAAGCAGAAAGAACTGTTGCAGAAGTGGTTGGAAAGGAGAGGGGGAGTCCGTCACCTCCTGGGATACTGAACCCTGCCAGGGATAAGGAGGGATGCAGGGAAGGGCCCAGGACACAGGCTGCCACGTCAAGACTGCACTGGAGGCATCTTGCACAGATTCAGTAACAAGAGGAAAACCTCTAGCCCAGACTCAGCCTAGGAACACGCTCCTGTCACTAAGGCCGAATGAAGAGGCCAAAACCTAGTAACTCCAGCACAGATTCCTAGCAGCAGTGAGCGTCTTCACTTGTGAAGTCCCAGGCAGACTAACTAGCTCACAGAAAGGGCAGGCTCGGCAAGCTCTGCATTGTGTAACTTGGAGCATTCTGGAAAAGGGAAATAAATTCCTAAATACAGCAAACACAATTCTTATAAAGCYCTGTCTCTCTGACAGCTATGACCCAGTTACTCAGGTCACAGATGCTCTCTGATTCAGGTACCACTTGGTTTCATATCCCAGCTATACTGTGGCCCTAGATGTTACCCTTTCATTGACCAAGAGTTCAAGTTGCTTAAAATGACAGGCTCAACTTTTCAGATTGCCTGAACACCTATAGAAACAGCATAAATTAGCTGGAAGTATAAATTCCCATCCCTGCTGGAACTCGGCCCCTACCTTCAACAAAAAAAAAGCTTTCTTTGCTGTGAGCTCCTCTGCAAAGMGGGACCAAGAGGCTCTGCTTCCAAGCACAACTGCAAACTGCACCACTTTGGATGTGATGATATGAATGCATAAACTTGTACACTTMCTACTGACTAACACTCAGTTATTACTTGGAAATGAGAAATTCAGAAGAAAATTCATGTTTACAGGGGTAGGTGAGAGCAAGTACTAACGCAGCATTTCCTGAGTGACTGTGTGTGATGGGCATGGCTGAGACAGGAACATAAGCAGGACCTGGAAGCTGCCAGGATCCTCTGGGCTTTCACAAGACTCCTCTTCCCTTACAAAACACGTGGAGGGGACTAGTTTTAGCAGTACATGACCTCTGTGATACACTGATGCTGACAACTGTCGCAGTGATCAGGCCACATGCCCATGTCCTCCTCCTGCTCTTTTCTTTGTCCCTCAAAGAGCTCGGGAAAAGCCTTTGCACGGTTACCCCGGCCGGTCTGTCCAGGTGACAGGCCTCAGGCTCCTGTTGGAGCCCCACACGTTGCTGCTTAGAGAGCAGGGTGCCTGCCCAGACYGCTGCCCACTCGCCTCACCTGCACACCGGGCACTGTAAAGACCAGCGGGACAAGGACAGGCATCTGCCAGGGAGCTTCAGGAGCATCAAACGGGTACAACTAACCTAGCCCAGGCCTGAGCACCACTGTGGTACCAYGAAACAATCTCATGGCTTGAATCAGCCTCAGATACATTTAAAAACTATCACTGGAGGGAATAAAATCTCTTATTTTGAACAGCCCTTGCCAGCATCCGAGGAGGCTTGAGAAAGGTTTATAGCAGCAGCTGACAYACTGGCCCCAGACCACAATGGGCTGCACAACTTTGCCACTTCCCCCTTGCTGCATCTGGGATTTGGAACAGAAAAGGATCCAAACTGAAACAAGAACATAAATCACAAAGGTAGTCTGAAATCCACTGCTGGGTCATGAGAACGATTCAATGGCCAAGGCTACCAAACCCAGTGTTTGCAGAAGTTTCTTTTGCTGCCAAACACCACCAGAAAAAGGCAGGAAAGAAATGCTGCAACAAATTGACAGTATGAGAGAAATTATAAAGTCCCTCCACTGAGTTAGAGACTCAGGCAGAATCATTTCWACTCAGTCCCTGCATCTCTCTCCCACTTTTACACATCATGCTATTATTTGCTTTCTTTTTCACACCCAGGCTCAGAATAGTATATAAAAATGCCTGAAATATATAATTATTCTCTATGGATTACACAAGTTCCATATCCAAACCTGCATTTTATCTCTTTTTTCTACATACCTTCAATTATATCTGATGATTTTCTATAATACTCTTCTCAATATTTATACATGAGCTGATGCTGAACACGTGTGTCCCAGTTTTATGTTATTTCATCTAAAAGTAGGGATCTTAGACTGTTACAATCCTTACTTGGAAGAGGTGACAACTACTTTTTCTAAACTGTCAGAGGTAAATTTTCAACAAAGAGCATCATTTTTAGGAACAGAGAGAAGAGCAGACATTTGAGGCATTACTTCTTCAAACAGTGATCCTTGAACAAGTGAAAACTAAGCAGGAAAAAACACACTGGAAGCATCCATATTTGTCCTTTTTTAGTACAAATTGCCAGTGTTGTTTCAGTAATGCAGGTTTACAAGTTCAGGAACTCTGACAATAAATCTCTCTGAAATGARAAGTATGAATAAATAACCAGTGAAGCTTCAGTCGACATAAGAAAATAAAGGAAAGGCAAAACCAGAAATCAACAGCCTTTTCTTCTTGTCTGAAGACAAAGAAAGCGATTGTGTCACTTACTATTTATTTTATCATTTGCGAGTAAAAATAACTTCCATATGATACCTTGCTGCCCAGGGAGGGAAGGCAGGCCAAGGCCAATGCTGAAAACAACAAGCACCAACCTACTTAACCAAGAATCCTGGTGAAATACATCAAGGCTATCATGGTAAAAAAGACCACTTGCAGTAAAAAAMATCCTAAAATGACCGTAAGTTCATATTGCATTGTACTGATTGAAACATTTTTTCTATCCAGGCAGAGAATTCCAGTTGGAGTAATAAAGTAATACATCAATTTGCACACAGGGCTGGAATTGTCTGCACCACGCTATAATGACACGTGTATTTAAATCTACTTACCTTGTAGATATCTGCTGGGTGTAAAGTCAGGAGACCACTCCAGTAAAAATGCCCCTAAAAGCCATTTTCCTCCCATTAAAGATTGGTTTGTGATTCAGGTTTCTACACATTCCTTTCAGTGCAAGTTCTGGCAGAAAGAGGAACTTACTGCTTGTTGTGAAGTTACCCTCCCCGACTTGGGGAAAGGAGTCTACGTCTTGGATGACTTGTAGAACTCCCACAGTCCGGACCGGGGGATCCAGGGCTACAGAGCTCTCGTTGACCGTTATGTCACTAGCTCCCGTGATCTGGTTCGTTGGTGGTCCTCCTATGGATGCTTCTAAGTCTGGAGGTATATCATCCATGCAATCTGCATTTGGCTGATGGGAAAAAAAAGAAGAAATTTGAGCATTCATCTATCAGACGTGTTTAATCTACCTACTTCCACTTTTTAAAGCGTTTTCTCTTACATCCACTGCGGCTATTGTCAGTCCCTTGATTCCCTTGGGATTGCTTTTGAATGAGTATTGTAAATGGTAACATCCAAACATCCAAGGAATTCTGGAATTTGTCTTTTATTGCTTGAATTTGCTGGTTTTTTTAATGTATTTAAGTCCTCTTAAGAGAATTGGTTGTTGGAGCAACCTCAAGTATGCAGTACGAAGTGTTTAGTAATCACAGATAACTAACTTTATTTACACTTTTCAAAGGCTTTAGGAGAGTACAAAAAAGTAGTTCATTTATTGATATGATCTGCTCAACACAGGCAGATTGCTGAGTCAGATTAGGACAGTAGCTGAAGGAGAATGGTTACTTTCAAATTCATTGCTGTGCCTAAATCTATGTTTTTGTAGAGTTCATAGCAGGGTTTTCAGGATCATAAATTCATGGTTTCAGGATCATAAATTCAGGATCATAAATTCATAACTGCTGTGGGGTAATCTGTGTGTGGGGTGCAAGATTAGAAAGTAAAGCTATCGATAAGAGAAGATATGTATTTTAACATCAAAGACCTCGACTTTGCTAATGCTATATTTTCTGCAAGATAAAATGATGAGAAAAGAAATAAACAAGCCTTAAAGGGGATTTGAGGAGTTTTATTCAGTCCCATCTTTCTTGCTTTGTGATCCAGAAAGACCAAGGAAGGACTCCAGTCCATGTAACTGAGGTACTTCTGTATCTCCATTATACATTTAACACAGCTACCCCTACAGAATGGGCCAAGCTCTTTAAGTTGGGTGTTTGCCTTTCCCCCGAGCTTATAGGGAAGCAGGGGAGGCACTGGGGTGCCCACCTTCCGCACAATATTCTCAGCAGCACCTATTCAGGAAGAGCACTGGGAATCCAAGCGGGTCCTGGAAGGCAGAGAGGATTATTTGTCCTGTGAGACTACATCCAAACCGAGCACTTGAAGCAGTCACACTAGGTTCTACCCTAGATCTCTCTCGGCCTGTTACAAGTCTGGTGCTCCTATTTATTCATAAAGCAGTGGTTTCAGTGGAGCTCCCCAAAATCATCTGTGGCAACCATAAACAAAGCTCTGAGCAGCAGCAGGTTCCTGTGCCRCTTACCCATAGAAGCAGGTCTAGATCCCCTCAAGTCATGTATCAAAATTTGTTTGTATAACTATTTAAGGAACTGAGTTTTGAAGTTGTAAAGTACTACAACAAAAATATGGCAAATTCAGAAAGAAGGATGCTGTTTGCAAGGCTTCTGAAATGCCAGACAGCTGTAGCAAGGCTGAAGCTGATTTCAACTCGACAGGGTTGAATTGGCTAAGCAGTTAACGCAGATAGCTTGTTACRTTGGGAGGCAGGGAAACTGAAGTTGTTCCCGCTTGTCTTCATTACCCAAAGGTTAGCTGGCTCATTCCGATCAGTCACTTAGGCTTCCTCTCTCTTCAGGAGGCTGAAGTAATTTTGCCGTGTGACTCATCCCATTCCAAGGCAAGAGGTATGAATCACGGCCGCTCCTGCCACTCACCACTCCATGGAGAGGAGGCTCAAGCTGCTAGGCTGGAAATCCAATGTGTGGACATTAGAGAGATGTTCTCCTACGCTTGGGTGTCTCACTGGCCTTGGTGTTTCTAAAAATCTCACTAGGTGCCTATCTCCAACAGCAGGCACCTAGAAACTAAGCAAAACATCTCAAACATCGACAGAGCAAAGGACTTCAATACAAGTTCAGATTTCAGCACATGAGTTAATGCTTTGAACTCGGGCACAGGAAGTTAGCATATGCTGAAGTGCTTTGCAGAGCCAGGAATGTAGCATATTTTCTTTTCTTCCCATAAATTCTCTGACTGTTGTCACCTCATAAATATTTTCTTGCAAGTGTTCCTAATGAAAAAGACTGGCTTTTAAAACAATCCTCAAGTGACTTGTATCTGCAAAACAAAGTTTGGGATAAAAACTAGRATCGTCACTGTCTTGCTACAATTTAATCTACAAGCCTTCTTCAGGGCTGGGATAAAGGTACATTGAACTATACCAGGATATAATGAAATCCACCAAACTAGTACTTTCCTAAGCAAAATACCGAGCATTTATCAATAAGACTAGGATACAAAATTACTTGTTAAATTCATCACTTTTTCCATGAATAAAAAAAAGGCCTTCAGAATTTTATTTCTAAATTGAATTTGTCTTTGAGAGCAGTATATCTTTAAGAAAAAAAAAAAATCTGTTTTTTCTTTTCTACTCTGAAAAAAAAAATCCTTTTTTTCCCCAAGGGACCAGTTGTCTGTCCTTTGCTCTGTTTCCAGTCATTCCTAGAATGGGGTTTAATAACTAAATTTTAAAACTTAAAAAATGGGATTATAATTGAAAACTGAACTAAACATTTAAGATATGAGAAGCATCTCATTCAGTATAATTAATCCCTTCACTCCTTAGTCATTTTAGTTGAAAAAAAAAAAAAACAGAAAAAGACTAAGCTGCACACTATAAAACTGATGATATGAAGTACTGATTGAAATAAAATAAATACATATTACAGTTTTCACTCTCAGAGTGACCCAGATACATTTGGGAAGTTTAATTATATTGGTTTCACTCACTCCCTGCGTGCAAGTGCTTTGAGGGCACAGTTCCACTCGAGTCAAGGGAAGTCTTTGTATTGACTTCTAAGGGCCTGGCTAAGGCTCTTAGTGAATAGCTTCAAGTCATCCAATCTGCTGCCAAAAATGCAGCTGTCTGCATATCCTGCAGATATTTGCAGAGAAGAGGGAGAAGCAGAGGGAAATTATTTAATTTGATACGATCATGCCAATAGCAAAGTAGCCCGCTGAACGCGGAAGACACTTTCACAGATAATTCRCTTCAGATCTTATGGCCAGAAGAAGTAAACTCTGTGAGCTGGATTCACCCGCAAAGAAACAGTGGAAAACGTGATGCCAAATGTTTGCTGATGGATGTTAGCAACTGTCTGGAGCTGCAGGGCACCCCGGTGAAAAGCGGGATCATTAGGGTGCTCAGCTACTGTGAAAATCCGGGCAGTCATTCTGGCCTCTCTGCAGCCTGGGGATTCTTGTTTGAAGACTGAAAATATTTAAAGTCTTTGTTACAAAATGAACGGAAAGTTTAACATATGAACATTCACATTTTCTGTTTTTTAACCAATSAATTCCGGGAAAATCCTGGGCCTTGCTGCTAAACAAAGCCAAATAAATCCAGTCACACAAGCCAGTTCTTCAGCATCAACCGAAGGACAAGCATGACGCTGGCAGAAACAAACTACTCTAGCCCTGCCTGTGGAAAGATTTCCTTGCTCTTCACATTATAGAAAACAGGGAGGATTTTGGCAAAGCTGTGCTCAAGTTTCCCGTCAGGGAAGCCTGCCTTCCTGAGGCCACTTTTCTGTGTGTGGAAATCCCAGTGAAGATGGCTTGGCACTACTSAAGAGTGTGGCCAGGGAATGGCATTTGCAGAAGCGTTTGCCACCATTCCCTAAGAAGCCCTAGCGCTCTGCAGCTTCTCCCAGGGAAATGTCTTTTCCCACGACAGCCCTCTGACAGCAGGCTACATTATGAAAACACGAGTTCGCCCGAGCCGATAGGGATCAGTGCCTTATCGGCGACTGGTGGCTGCACTCTGCGACRAGAACAGGACTTTCTGTGCTGCTGGAAAGCTCGCGGTGACACCGGAATCCACAACACAGGACAGACAGATGGCCCCTTCTCTGCTCCCTGCAGCCGGCACCCRGGCACAGCAAGGATGGGGAGGAGGAGGGCTCGCATTTTCTGGSCATGTGGAGAACAAAGTCCCGAGGCCAAGGAGAGGACGGGTACACACACACGCAGGGACAGGCAGCTCAGAAGGATAAGGGTTCGGAGGGRGGCTCATGCAGCAGAGAAGCAGGGACAAGGGGGTGAGGTAGGAGAGAGAGAAGCAGGAGTTAAGGCAGATTTTAGAATCAGAAGACAAAACAGAAGGGGAGCAGAAACTGAGAATGATACAGGAGYTTTTTAACCTGCAAGCTCCCAGACCCTCTCGGACACTATTTTCCTTTGCTGTCAGCCACAGGGACCCTGACAAAAGGAATATTGTCTGCTCAGTACTGCAAGGGCGAAGCGCCGTCGAGCGGCTCTGCCCCCACGATCCCGATCAATGTCCCACCCGGGGGCAGGCAGCACGCTCTCTCCAAATGATGGAGGCAACAGCTTGCTTTCCGTTTGTTGTCYTAGAAACCTAGGATTTTTCACATAAATTAATAAAATAAATCCTTTGCTAGTGGAACATTAACACTAAAAATCAAGTGCTTGGCTGTTAAGATGAGAGCAACACTAAGGCTGACTCTGAGATCTTAACTTGACCCAGTCGTCTGTGTCAGTTACAGCAGTATCTTTAATTACAAGATCACACACAATTATTTCCTAGAAACTTTGAGCAGAAAACTCTCAGTGAGGGAAGCAGAGGGATACCCTTTCAAGGCAAAAGCTGAATAGCATAGAGGGAACAAGCCAGGGAACTRTGAGAAGGGAAAGCTGAGCAAACTGAAAGCCATGTCCTTCACTCTTCCTGGCAATCGGCTTCTACACTTGCAGCCACAGAGGAGTTTGTTTCTAATAAAGCCAAAACCTTCACACCTGGCCCCTCAGCATGTTGCTTTCTTCTTCCTCAGTGCACCCCAACTCTACAACATGTGCCACACGCTCAGCCTCCAGTCCCATGCAAACAGGGACCGACAGCACTAGCCATTCTGGAAAGACCTTTCCAGCTCACAACAGTCCACCAAAGAGTGCAGGCCAGCCCTGGCTATATCCCTGAGTTACAAAGCTGGATCAGAAGCATGTCATTAAATGCTTAGCTCTTCTGCTGGTGCAAAAAGCCCAAGAGGGATTGGGCTGGACTGAGTACAGGAACTGAATGGTATYATAGATTGCAGAAGAAGATCAGGAGACTATATACTACTCAAGGAGAGCAGGTGTCAAAATATTGGATCATTTGCTCTCTGGCAAATGTGTGAACTGAGACACAGAACATGTGGGAAAAAAAAAAAATCTGTATTTAAGGCTCGAGTGYAGCAATGCCGAATGGCAGAGACAGCCTTAGTTCTGGCCCTTCCAAACATCTGAAATTCTGACTTAGCTACTGTACCTGTTGCTATTCCAAAGACAAGATAAATATACATCAGGAAAGTGGCCCAAGTATAATAGGGTATTACCCTAACCACAATGCTCTAACACATTTTTTACAGTGTATGTTGTTAATTTGGCTCATGCTGTTGTTTACCATACCTGCCTACTTCTACAAAAACAAATTCCATCACTTGCTATGAAACATCTTTGGCAACAGCCTGTTTGGCTCCCATGTTTCCATGACAATGAACCAGTGCATTTGGGGAATGGCCACAGCAGTTGCTCTAATAAGTTCATATATCTATTTTACRTTATATAACTCTTCCATAAGTAAATTGGTGTGGCACCACTTGTAACTGGGGAGGGTATTAGCACCTTTTAACACACCAACCAGCAACGCTTCAGCATCGAACYACCCTATCATGTTTACATGCTTTACATATTAGCTTTACATAGCTTCACATATTGTGAGAAAGTGACTCACTTCTTCCTGGAGAAGACCCTAATCTTTGTGATAACTSTATTTAGAAACTGTACGGCAGGCAGGACATGTGCTGAATGTAAACATGCAACCTAAAAACGTCAATTGTTTTGGCAGATTCTAATCACATCAGAATGTACCAAATATCAAAGAACCTAACAATCTCCTATATATCATGGGGTCCACTACATGTTCAGGTATTGGGAAAACGGTTTCTAAATGGAATTTGGAGTATTCAGAGATACGGCTTCCTAAAATGAGCAATTAGCTGTTCCAAACTTGCATATCTCAGAAAATTTTATTGTATATCTTCTCCTCTGAGAAACAGAGACCATAATTAAAAAATAAATCTAGTCCTGAACTAAAACACATACAAAAAAAAAAAAACCTTTTGAAAGAATACAAAACCCACCAAAACATCATTAAAAAATACCCACCTCCACAAATCAGGCAGCTGCAGACACATAAAGCCTAACACCCAGCCCCATCCCATACCCGCACTCTCCCTTGACCACTGAACTGGGGAGAGCGCTAGAGCCACATGTTTCAGCCTCTATTCCCCTAAATAAAGCAGTATAACATGGCAAGAGGCACAGGACAGGAATAGACAGAGAACTGGGGATAACCCCCCAAGGTTGGTGTTTTCTCCCTGCCCYGTCAGGGCTGCTCTGCAAGGCGCTTACCGGAATCCCTAGAGCTTTTAGAATATTCATTTTACACATGGGGCAGGTACGATGGTCTAGCAGCCACGGGTCTACGCAGGACTTGTGAAAAAGATGCCTGCAATGAAAAACAGGATATTTTTAATTCAAATCTACCACAGCAAAATTTACCTCTTCTTAGTACCAGAAGCTTCTTCTGTATTCTGCCAAGTGCGAGCATTTCAAAGAGTGTAGCTTGTGATCTCTGCAAGGATGACGAGACCATGTGCAGACAGGACTTGATAATGACTTCTGCAGCAGCTCAAGCACCTGTGCACACCACACCATTCCTCAAGTGAGTTTGGAAAAGACATGTACACAATTAGAAAATCAGAAAAAAAAAGGACACGGTGTGAGCAGTGAAACTCATATTCTTTAAATGTTAAAGGCYGTTGGTAAACAACATCTTCTTGCTGGAAAAGGTCAAATCACAGCAATTTTTTTGATGGTACTACAGACTAACCTGATTACATATAATTTAAATGTGAAACCATTGGGGGTCTCCTATTATTTTTAAGGATGCAGGGATAGGGAAAAGAAAGTCAAATACAAGTAAGCACCACTTTTCATTTAAATTAAAGAACATGATGACATTTTTTAAAACATTCTCTCTTACTTTTCTGCTCTTCAGAAGGTGCCCATCAGAGTGAGCTTCCAAACCTCTCTAGCCCTGAAGGGGTGGTTGCTGTTCCCACATTCGATGACCCCAGGCAACGACATGATCTACATGGCTGCAGAGGAACGCAGAGCTTCTTGTCCAGCTTTGCCGGACACAAAATGAGATTGAGCCCGGAGATATTTATTATGCATACTCGACTGGCAGCTCTGTTTTCTCCTGTGAGCATATTCTGTTACACCGTGGTTTTAGGGGATAAATGCTACAGATCACAGGAATAGTCCCTGCTGCAGGGTGTGGGCTTGAAGAAACATTGTTGAGAGCAGCAGAGCAGCACAAGGTGGTGAAGCTCCCTTCTGTCCATACATTGTCTTTTATTTAAATTTTAACTCACACGTATGGGCCCTGTATTGATTTATCTTGCTTGTAATAACCCTGCCCTCTTTCTGAATGTGCTTTGAAACTTCACTGTTCGTGATGTTTTGTGCTGGTCCAGCTCCACTCCTGAAGAAGCAGAGCGAAGGCACCTACCATACTCACAGCTTTAAATACCCCACTGGTATGCAGGAGTTTGAAAACAGTTTTGCCTTCCTAAAAATCTTATTTACACAATGAATAACTTAAGCAAAACTGAAAGAGAGTATTTTTATATTGAAATAAGGGGATCAATATACACAATTTTGCACCAAAAAGTACAAACAAACACTGATTTGCTTGTTTTGGTACAAGTTACAGATGAGTTTTCATTCCTTTCTAAGACTTGCAACAGGTGTTGCACATTCAGATTGGCAGAGCCTGAAAATCAAATTTCAGTCTACTTGAACTTTGACACCTGAGCAATCTCCAACCTCTGCTTCCCTGTGGCCCATTAGTAYGGGGAGTACAGCAAACTACACCAAACCACCAAAGCTACCAGCYACGGCCTCAGGCTCCATAGGGACTGGCCATGCAACTGATCACGTACTGGCCTCCACTAGGAAACGTCTCTGAAGAAGCCAGAATCCCTTAAGGTACCAGCATAATTTTAAATCCAAAGTGGTGTGCGTGCAGGCTGCTGTATCCCATCACACTGCTCCAAAGGCAGCTGCTCGCACTTAACCAAGACACACAAAAACCTTTCAACTTGATGGAAGATACTGAGGTGCATTTTCATCAGTATCGATCTGTATCCCTGGCTCTTACTGAAGTGATACCAACCCACACACTAGCTGGCTGCAATCCTAAACACTAGAAATTCAAAGCCAAAACTCTGTGATATCTCAGAAGCTGTGATTCTTGCCACTTCAATATTTTTCTTCCTCCTTCTAGAAGGAACGGACCCTTTGTGAATCAAAGCTACATGGCGAGCTGTAGTATTCCTGTGCTTGGGCTGACTTCACACAACTATGCGAAAGGGCAAATGTGTTCTTGGAAGTTTGACCCAGTCTAATTATATCAGCTGGCTGTTACASCGGCCTTCGTCAGGCCTCACCTGATCCTGTATGTCAACACAATTAGCACGAGCGAAGCCTAAGTTTAAGCCACTACTTTACTAAGGCTACTAAAGTTCACAAGTCTTCTTCAAAAACATTTGCCTTTACTGGATGAAAAACAAAACATCTCAAAGCTCAGGCCCAACTCCCTTGTCCTTCGACCTCAGCAAGGACATATTCAGCACGTCATGAGACAAACATYTGGCACAGGTGAAGGCACAATGACACAGTTACCAGGTGTGTGCAGCTTTTACATTTCAAACTCTTACCAGCAGAATTCCTTGCTCGAATGTGTTAATTCATGCAGAGTCCTGAAAGTTACTGTCTTGCTTTTCAGCTATTCAAAATAACTACAAAAATCTTGACAGTGATGTGTTTTCATTAGTTATATACCCAAATCTACAAATATGTTTAACTACCAAACATTTGAAGCATAGTTGGGCCAAAATAATCAGTACACTGAGATATTTATTATGGTCCTGAAAAAAATGTACTGCCAAAATCTGCTTCTGATCAAAAGCATGCAATTCTGTAAAACCATTTCATTGTAGACTTTCTAGAAAGTTTCCTTTTGTTTTCAAACTCAAGCTTTGCAAGCCTCAGTCAAGCTGTGTCTTATTTTACAGCATTTCGTAATGTTTGCTAACCACCTAGGACTTGGAATTTTCATGTTTTACAGACATTTAACTAAAGTTGAGCTCCTTCTAAAGTTGTTTTCAACAACAATATTCTAAAGGTAATGCTGAGTAATTTAAATACATGACAGATCATGTCACTTTGCACTTTTCAATATGGAATTAGTATAGTGCTCTATTATGGCTCTATTAATTTTAGATTTAATATCTACAGTCAAAAGACCCGGATAATTAGCTGGAAGTCTATGAAACACGAATGTTACTAAATTGAAGATTTGTATTTTTAAATTCTTATATCAAAGCATATAACTAAAGGGCTCAAATTATCTATTTGTGAATATGCAAACATCTGGTGCAGATAAATTAGTTGCCAGGCTTTGTAAATTTGGATTTAAATATTTATTTTGTTCTTTGTTAGCTATACCATTACATGTACACTTATGACTTTCAACAAATTGGCAGCTTATCAACATACTAATAAGTTTACCATCTAAATTCAGAAAAAGTAAGGGCCAAAACAAGGTAAAAATGAGAGGGCAACTACCATAGTTCACAGTCACACGCTAAGACAAAGGCAAGGTCAACTTCAAAAATCTCTCTCCCTCTGCACTTGTGGTTCATGCAAGTTTTAAAAGGAAGGAGATGGTAAAGGCGGCATGGATGAGTCCACAAGCGATCCCTATAGGAAGACAGTAAGAAAGATTTTTCAAACATAAGCTTGGACCCTCACTTTGACGATAAAAGTCATAGCTAGAAAAAATGTTTTTGCTGTTGGGTGCAACTGCATGCATGCAAAACTACGCTGATTTGGATTGCCTGAAAAGCTTCTCAGAAGAACTGCAGTTGCTCAGTTTGGAGAAAGGATGGAGAGAGGAGAGGAAGGATGTTCTAGCAGCCTTCATACACAACAAGGGCCTCCAAAAGGAGGCAAAAGCTGAAAGCAAGTCCCATTCCTAAGGGCTCTGAATAAGAGAATCAGTGGCCTGAGGTGGACATGGCAGGGGACTGAGAGATGGCCTGGTGAGAAATTGGGTAGCAAATTATTATCCAACAAGGAGGTTGGGCATTTCAGCAGGATATTATTATTTATTTTGAGGAAGAAGTAGTATGGTGATGACATGATTTTCATGTGAGACTAACAAAAAGAAGGAAAAAGTGGAGCAGTCTATGAACTCATAATTGATAATGGATTGGAGATTCAGGGGAGGGAGGTGAGCTTGAATGGGATCAGAAAGAGCATTTGTTGTTGACAGAAACAGAACAACCAGAAAAGGAGATAATGAAAAATTAAAAAGTTCTCAGACAAGATGAGGTTGTGAGAACCATCTTGCCACTTTGCGTGGAAGGTGATCCTGGACAGCAGGATAAATAAAAGTTCAGTAAAAGGCAGCCAAAGGGTGCAGCAGGACCAGTAACTTCTTACAAGATGCTTCAGATAAGATAACGCTAGAGATGGAGGACAAGAAGAAGGAACTGGGGCTGTGACAAGAGATGCCATTCTCCGAACAATCAACTTGGTTGCATTTGATGCTGTGTCAGTGTCCTCGAGGACAACTTCAGTGATGCTTGCTACTATTAAATACAAAACTAGCTGTAAGCCAGCACTTAGTTCATCGCCAAATGCAATGTCAGTGTCAGTATGTATTTACTTAATTTATGAACTCTGTAGAGTGAAACTTATTAATACACTCAGCTGTGGGAGTTGGCTTCTTAAGACGATGGAAAGGAAAAGAGCATAAGTTAATTGTAATTCTCCTCATAGACTCCAGCGTGAGATACACAACAGGCTATCCCAGCACTTGCTCTCTGCAAACAGCAAAAGATAACGGGGTAATGCCACAAGTACCATGAAGCATCTAGCTATATGACTTTAGACTTCATCTACCAAAATGTAGGGCAGTGGATTTTTGTACCAATTTCTTGGGGATTCCAGCAGTCCTAAAGAGAAATCTCACGTTATATGCTGACTTCCTACAGAGTGTATCTGCTAGCCATGGTATTCCCAATCCTGCCTGCAATACAAAGCAGTCTTGTGTGCAGTTCCTGGGGAATGCTTGGGTTTGCAGGGAAAAAGTCCTGCATCTTGAGCACCTCCTGGATAAAAAAGTACGGATGGTCAGCTAGCTCTGGTGTCATGGTGTGGGCTTTTGTAAGGTTTAATGAAGTGCTTTTGTATGATGTACTTACACTATATGCCTAAGTTCATCTTACAGTCTCTGGAGGACTTAAGATACAGGGTGCTTCTACTTACTTAACAGAGCTAGAGATAAATTAATCTCTACAGACAACAGTAGGAAGACTCATGACTATTATTTCCTGTTTTGGAGCACTGAACCCATATGAATGTGCAAGCTACTACCCTCACAATTTGCATAGCACGAAAGCCAGGCTCTGTGAAGTAACTGCTTAGGGAAGTTCTTCTAATTTCTACAATTCAAAACCTCTTAGGCTCCAACAGTGGGTATTTTACAAGACAGATCTGCTGCTGGTAACCTTTCAGCATGAGTCATTTTCTAGGTGACCTTTTAAGCCAGCCAAATACTGCACAACACCTGCTAACTGTGTGCTTCCTATTCACTGTGCTTTACTTCAGACTGTGCATGACAAAGTCTAACTGGAGACTCATTAGTTTATGAAGCAAGACACAAGTGAAAGCAATCGCTTATCTGTACTGTTTTTATTACTGCACAGCTTCCTTCCAAAACCTTTTGTCAGTCTAGTCCGTCTGTCAGATGGACTAGTGCAAAATGTCCAGATTTGATTAAGCTTCTATAGAAATGGGCTTGATGTCAAACCAAACTTGTATTTTCATATAATTTCTCAGTTTTCTGTGTATCTGCTTCATAAGGAAATGCACTGGTGTCTGTTTCTAGAAAAAGAATTGATATGCAATATGCAGTTTGTCTTTAGGGGGTACACAGTAGGTCAGATTTATGATTAATCTGTTGTTTTTCTGTTTGCCATTTAGTGACAGCAGAAAACAGATTTAATGAGTCACAAGAACGAATAGAATGGACAGTTTGCAACATTCGAATATCTTCTAGGGAACAACACAGTCAGAAAAGAAACAAACATTTCAGTTTCTCAAACCAGTGAACATGTCTGAAGCAGAAGAAAAAAACTCCGTAACAATCTACACTCTCTATAGCATATAGCACTTGAGATTCTTGTTTCTAAGGAAGTCAAACACTTGTGCTTGCTCTTTTAAGAGAATTAGCATTCCCACAACATTTCTGAAGAAACTGATCTCCCTAGAGAAATCATACATTAGTTACACTCCACGTGTGACAATACAATGGCACAGAGAGAAGAATATAGCTGTGATGGGTGGCAAGAAGCTGTGCTCCTCTGTTACATCACAGCAAGCACATGTGAAGGGGAAAAAAGGAGAAAGGACAACCATAAAAGCTCTTGTCAGCTCCATCTACCAACATGCCTGGTAATGGTTTCAATAAAGAAAAAAACAAAACAAAAAAAGGAGACTTTGTCATATTCCTTTTTTTGCTTTCCTGTTTTTTCTATTCCACATATCTCTGGGTTGGGTTGTTTTTCTGATACAATTCATCCATTTCYGAGCATCTGGTCATGGTGCAGGATATCAGAAGTGGCTCCATGGGGAGCAGAGAGACTTTCCTGGCCCTATGACTGTTGTGCTCAGTGCTCTCCTGGAATGGAGGAGTAGTCTTTAAGCCAGTTATAATAAACTGGTATAAAACAGTGGGAAGAATAGAGGAATCAAGCTCTTTAACTTAAAAATACTGCTAAAGACTTTATTATATATCCAGACAGGGCAGCCTGCAGYCTTGAGTTGCGAAGTCTTAAGTATAGACATATAACTCTTCATACTAAAGGGTTTTGGCACTACTATCTTAAGAAAACAGAAAACTGTTCTTGTTACCAGAAAACTCAGCATCAGCTAGCATCGTGTGATTTAGCTAAAAATTCAGGCCAGACAACATTTCTGACTATCATGGCAAACTCAGGTTGTCAGGCTAAATGGCTCTCAACCCCATTAATATTGTTTTCACATCAGAAAGGAAAAAAAGAGACATTCCAGGTATCTTTACAGAATACAATGTGCCAGTACACTGAAACAATTAGCCTCTCGGTCCCCACAAAGCTCTCGAGTCACCTCATTGAAGTGATATTCAAAGAGGAGAACCCATCAGGGCAGGCAGAGAGACTATCAGAGCTAAAAATGCCTCTAACCTTCAGGTTAACTTACCTGCAAGGTAAGATTCTGACAACGTCATTGGGCTTGTAGCCTTCAATGCAAACAGCACAGTTATCAAAGTCTGGCTCAGTTTCCTAGGGGAAAGAGAACATTTATCATTTTCATTCTCTGACTTTGTCAGCTAGTRTCTTCACCCAAGAGCCTATGTATCAAAGTAGAAGGGGCAATGACGTATGTTGTAAATGCAGTAATACACCTGAAGACAAGCAAACCAGACTTTCAACATGCATCCAAGTGGAAGCCTGCCCAGGGAGGCATGCAGATTTAGTCAGCGTATTTCTACTTTCAGGACTTTCTGCATCTTTGTATAATTTTACCTCTTTCTGCTGCTGCTCCATTCCATCCACAAATTGYTTACCAGTATTTGTCCCCTGCCCGGAGGGCAGGTACTAGCTTAGAAAACAGTCATCATTTCTATTCTGCCTCTTTGTTCTGGTGGTATGAGGCACTCTTCGGTGCACACATGCATTTCATAATGAGCAATTTAAAAAATTACCTTATCACCTTTCCTGATTGTTCTGACTTGCAGCTTGCTGATTGCTTTCTTTGCAGCATCTCCAAGACGGCGCTGTAATATAAAATTTGCTCTTAAGCAATGAGTGTCTCTTCAGGCAGAAATCATCACCTTTCTTTCCCTAGACTTAACAATCTGAAGTAACTGTACCTGAAAAAGGGAAATGCTGCATAAATGTAAACAGATGCAGTCAGATCAATGTGGGAAGCAGTGTACTTTTATTAAGAAAAGGCAGCCAGTACTCTAGGCTTATTGGTAACCTGTGACTGCTGAGGCAGAGCAATTATAATGCAGTTGAGTGGACTATACACAGCCTACCATGATGTTGCACTACAGCATTTCTACTCTTCAAGTGAGCAGCAACATATACATTAATTATTTGGATATCTTACTTCTTCCCTTTTTTAAATTATGCTTGTAAAAAATACATTATTAAATAAGGCCTGGGCTAGTAAGAAGAGCAAACCTTTCTCTCAAGATTCCTGGTTTCTGTTCTTGTATTATTCTAGGACTGGTTCATGGTCCCAAAACTTTAGTGCTGAAATTGAGSTATTTGACAACTGAAAAATACGAATCTTCCTCTCTCTTTTCCTTGTCTACTTAAGAGAGTACCATATGGTATAAAAATAAGGTTAAAGCATCTGCAGTTTCTTCCAGGGAAAGTGCTCTGTAGTCCTGCTGTCACATCCTATGTGCACAAAATCAATTGTGTTTTCTTTTCCTTTCCATCTCTCTCTCCAGTGGACTGTGAATTGCTCACTGTGTGACATTCCTGACTGCTCTCCCATATTTCCAGGACACTGTGACTGTGCTGGCAGCATCACAGCCACTTAGCATTAGAGTAAGCAGCAACAGCCTGATGCAAAACACCCTGTTCTCAAAAGCCAAAGCTGAAGATACCTGTTTCTTGCAGGAGGTTGGGAGCGGTCTCGGGCAGAAACACAGCTCAGCAAAGCTACCTCTGCACCTCATGCTCCTGTGCTTTGTGCCTATATCAAGGACTTGCTGCTCACTAGTGCTAACCCAACAGTGAGGTAGTCAGGAGACAGAAGCACAGGCTGGAAAGGACTCTGAGAGGTCTGGTACTCCCATCCCCTATTCAAGGCCTGGGAACTCGAGCCAGAGCTCGTGGCTGTGTCAAGTTCTGAATATCTGAATATCTCCAAGAGTGGGGATTTCAGTCTCTCTGGATAACATGTCCCAGGATCTCCCTTCTCCTAGAGTGAATTCTTTTTTAATATCTGAACAGATAAAATTTCTCTTGTTGCTGTTTGTGCATGCCACCCCTTCCCCTCTCTGTGCACTTCACCAGGGAGTCTGAGTCAAGCTCTGACACAGCTGAACGCTGCAGCGAGATCCCCTGCAGGTTCACCTTCTCCTGGGTAACAAGCCAAGCTCCATCCACCCGCTCTCCTACCTCATGTGCTGCTGCCCCAGACCACGTTGGAGGCCTTCCTCTGGGCTCCCTCCAGTTTGTTAATGTCTTTCTTGCACAGGATCAGGTTGTAACACCTACTCTGAGGCATTCTTATGGTTTTTACAGCAGCTTATGTATCTCTTAGTGAACCCTAATTTTTCATCAGTAAATGCCTTAATCTCTTTTTCTTCAACTCCCCTTCCCTTCTGATCCACCCCAGCAGTTACAGTACGTGCTGTTAGGAGCTAAGTGCTGTCAGGAGGGAGATGCAGCAGCACTGGTGACTCAGAAGACATTCAACTTCTTAGGCTTGGAACAGTGAATGTGGCTGAGTTCAAAGAGTCCTGTCAGAGAGAAGGGATTCCAGCTGGAGAGGCAAGAGCTTGAAGCCAAAACTGGGAATAAGTTGGATGTAGCCTGTAAATTGGGACCTAATCATCACACAGATATGATTAAGAAATTACCACTTTCTTTTTCTGTTTCAATCAAAATAACCAAATTTAATTCAGAGAACAAACTTACTGGATTAGAAAGACATAGAGGAGTGACACAATCAAAGCAATACTAAAACGAGGGAGGAAATTCAGAGCTAGCTTAGGAGAAAGATCTTGGCTATCTCACATGAAGCTTACATGTAATCTTTCAACTACAACTAATTATTACATGTGAGAGAGTTCTTGTACTTGCACAACATCTTATCTGTGGTACATTTTTCTCACAATCTCCCTTGAATAAAGGGATCAGGAAAGAGTGGGAAACATTTCTCGCCAGCTATTTGTAATATAAATCAAAGACAAGCTGATAGCACACAGCAAGACAAAAGCCATTATGTCCTGCTTCAGGAATTCCTTTTGATTCCTTTTTATCGTTGTTATTATTACTACTTAAACTAATGAAACGTCTCAGCTCTTTTTTGCACAATCTTCAAGGGGAAAGGACAAGATTAAAGACTCATGTACAACTTTGATCTGCTTGTTTTCATGTTTGCTTTCTCTGATCCATCTTAAATAGACAAGTTCATGATTTAAATAGAAATGAGAAATATTTAGCTTTTGAAAAAAAAATGGGAATATCCTAAAGTAATTCTTTCAAAAGATTCCTCTATTTGAATGCTATTCATGCTATCACTTATCAATCAATGCCCCTAAGAGATAGGAGCCCTAACACAGTTTAGAGGTTTAAAACAAGGCATAGAGATTGGTGATCACAAATCCCATAATCTCCTTAGCAAGGCCGTGTCATTCAGCAATGGACCGGAAAGAGTTAAGGGTATCAGATRCAACGGCCTTGCGGAGATGGTGATAGGAGTTAAAAACAGAAGAGACTAGTGTGGAAAACACCATTTGTCACTTCCTGAGGAAATAAGTGACACAAGGTCTACTTGTGTAAGAGAAATAATCGTAAGTGCTCGTGTCTTAACGGCCAGTGAGATGACTGCTTTTGGCTTCAACATTCCCGCAAGGTTTCTGTCCAGGTTTTATCCTATTGGGACATCCTGGGAAGTGCTTCCAGGGTGAGTGTGCAGCGAGGGCCAGCTGCTCCCTGCGGAGCTGGGAGCTCCGTGCCCAGACTCCTGGCTCCAGGGCTGCTCGTGCCCAGGGCCGGGCTGAGCTGTGCCTGCTGGCAACCAGSTTCTCTATCGGCCAGCCCTACGGGCACGTCCCCGACAGAGGTTACAGAGGTAAGTGCAGGTTAAGCCCTTGTTTTAAAAGTGTGGGTTTTTAAAACATTCAGATGTCAAAACAAGTTTAACTACACTCTCTTTTTAACTAAACTCTAATAAATAAGACAGTTTTTAGGACTTACAGAGCAAGGCCGCCAGTTCACACAGTTGGATTTTATTGCACTCCGGAGTAGGAACCGATAGCACTTTCTCTAAATTGGCCAGCTGGCTCCCTCTCCATCTGAAGCTCTGTTTATCCAAACATTTCAACTTTACCCCTCAGATAAASTTTATCTGGAGTACATCAAATACAAACGAAAGGAAACATCTCTCCTAAAGTTTGCCTGCAACGAAGGCACTTAAAACACAGAGCACAGAGCCTGCACRCAGACAGACTCGCAGGCAGGGAATACAGCCAGAAGCTTCTGAGCAYGATGACCAAAGAACAGTGTTCTAAATTACACGCCAGCAAAGTAACACGAATCATTTATCTTGTGCACATCAGCACAGCAACATATATCCTGCACAGCAACACAGAACCTTGTGATTCTATCCCTGCACTACATGCAAAAAAAGTGTCAATGTGTCAAGCAGGCAGAAMTTTAGGGAAAACAAAGACAGAGCAAAGAGAGTTCTTCTGACAGCTACCTACAAATCTAAATTGCTACATTCCATAACCAAGACTGAAAAAAAATAAACATGAACACAGCTGGTCAAGCTTTTTCCATGAATGTCATTAACATTTCTCAAAAGTAAGAGGTAATAAAGAGATTAGAACAAATGTCAGGCAGATGAGGGTGAAGTAAGTACAAAGCAATTAGAGTTAGCTCCATAATGTTATCAAGGTAAAAAATTAATGTTAAATAATTACTTATAAGCTCTRTTCTCCTATGCTGCTTGAGAGCATAACTAACATTAAGACTAACTAACAGGRTTATTCAAATCTCTGCACAGGGCAATTGCTCATACACACACCAGTCTCATTCCAACTAGGAAAAAAAAAAATCTCCTTGAACAGACAAACCTAACAGTTCTAAACTACAGCATATCACCTGAAGTGAGCTTCTTATTTTGCTGGGTTTCCYGCTTGTGCACATATGTATTTACACTGCTAATCTGCCTGTATAATTGCTTGATTGAAAACATGCTTATGGTAGTCACCTACATAAATTAGGCACACATGTGCTTCTGCAGCCAAAGCATACAAAAATCACCAGAGAGAAAGTGCTGCCAGTGATGTGCTCATTCCAGCTGTGACAGTTACATTCTTCCTATTCAAGATCTCATGCGGCATATTTAAAAGCAAAATATGTATTTTTTTCTATCTGTAAATACATAGCAGCTGGTGTCTAATACAGAGGGTGTCTCAATTTCAATGATGGGCAACAGATCCCTATAAACTAAGTAGAGAGTATGGAATATTTTTCTCTAAAAAAAAAAAATTATTAAGAATTCATGTTAACTTTTTAAGCAAGGCAGCCCCTCCCCACACAGTAATTTGTTAAGGGTACAGAAACATCTCAGGGCATTTTTTTCTTATCCTGCAATAAGATGGTTATTTGCCTCCTCAGTTGTCACACATCAAAAATATTTTCTACTGCACCATTAGAATGAAATGTAGAAGCCTCACCTTCCAAATTCTGCTGATGCTAAGGTAGCTGCATCCAGACAAGAGAAGATTGAATTTATTATCATTACCACTATTAATTACAGCTAAACCACCATAAAGATGCACAATGCATCTTTACAGATGGAGAAGATGTCAGAATTATGACCCACTGCATCCAGAAGATGTCAGAATTATGACCCATTGCAAAAGTTCTCGCCCCCACATAACGCAGCTGGGTGCAGCAATACAGGTTTGCTGTCTCTTTCAGAGGCTTTGGACAAGGTGTTGAAAAGGAAGCAACACTTGAATGATATTGTTTAGCATTATAGTTACATGTTCAAGGATTGCTGTCAAATGTACAGAGGCAGCTATTCCCCTTTCAAACTCAAGACCCTTCAGGATAAGCTTTAAAATGAAAACAGTTCCTATGCTTTTTCTTTCCTCTCTTCACTTAAGCTGAATCCTTGCTTTGCACACACACATTCACTTACCTTATACCTCACTGTTTTGTAGTCACCATTTAGGTCTTAAAGTCATTATTTGTATACATTACTGTATCCATTGGCTATATATACACTATAGGAATCATTTTGCTAAGAAACATTAATCTTTCCAGTTATTTCTTGTGTATTTTGCATGGGGAAATAAAGCCATAAGAGATGCACTACCTATTTACTCTTTCTTTTTTTTTCTGAATATCATCAATCTGGCCAAGAAGTCTTGACTTGTCTCAGATACCGGCCTTTCCAGATCTCCAGTCTTCCCACTCTTGTGTTCTCTCTTGTCACACATGCATGGTTTCCCCAAACTTTGCTTTAAAACTTATTTCGATCCGAGTCCTACAGAGATTATTTCAGAAAGACAGGCATCCACTGGAGTCCTGCTCACCTGATTCCTGTCTCTGGCATTTGCATAGCGGAACCGCTGGATATAATAGAACACCAGCCACGCCAGGGAGATGATCATCAGCACAATGAAGGAGATGGAGACGAACACCACGGAGGTCCGGCTCACGTACTTCTGCAGGTTGCGCGTCCCGATCGTTATGTACATCATCACAGTGATGTTCCTCTCCAGGAGGCTCACTATCTCTCTCCCTTTGGGTTCAGGAATCATTATTGCTACAACATCTTCTAGACCTGTAATACAGGAGGGAGAAGGACAAATAAAGTAAAAACGGTGACTGCCACATAAGAAAATGACAAGAAGACACGGTATGGCAAAGGAAGGCACTCTTGTTTTTTTCCTGTTGGTTTTCATCAAGAGGTAAGGCTGATGAATTTATTGATGCTAGAACCASTTATATACTAACCTTGTACACTTACATGCTTTCTGTATGCTTATATTGGTGAGCTAAGTAAAAGGTGTTTCCTGGATTGACATAAACCCAGTTTTCCAATATTGTTGAGATGTATCTAGAAGTTATCGGTGTCGCCCCTGCAGAAACGCAGAGGTGCCACAGACAGCTATGACACACTGTGACAGTCCGTTTCTCCTCATAGGCAGAATCGACTGCAAAGCTGGGGCCTGAACTCTTCTCTCCCAAGTCTTGGAGTAGAACTGGGAATTGCACCATTCCTCCTCTCGTGAGACTTGGCATCATAACATTGCCTTATTTTGAATAAGCCAGTCAATGAAGTGCTGAAATTACCGATTTCACTAGATCAAAGAATTTTAGTTATCTGCAGCTGAACCTATTGATAATTTCCAACTAAGTATGAATCAATTTCATCTATTTCTCTTTTGCTTTAGTCTAATAAGAGCCCACCCTGAGCAGCTAAAATAAATCTACCATTGCAACACTTCTGAACCTGTTTATTCCAGGTTAATTCAAACATTACTCTAACAGTGCAGGGAGAGTTTGCCAAGTCTCAAGGCAGCTGGGAAAGGCACTGATCATGCACCATACCAGTAATTTTCCTGCAGTCAACAAGACAAGTGGTCTGGAGCACTGCTTCTCCTTTCTAACTGTTCACATGCCTTACTTGCTTCTTTTTCCAATTTTAAGAAAAATAAAATGCTTAAAATGCTCTCTAAGCAAGAMAACTTAATCAACCGCTTCACACACTGCCAAAAAGAACTCAAAGGGAAAAAATCCCACAGCATAAAAATATCGAGATGAATTTCATCAGCTCTTCTCAGAAAAACTACCTTTTGACCCATTCACTTGTCCAAAAGGGAATCTTTAATATCATCTGGAAAACGACATGCATGATGTAACCTGAAATCTACACAAATGGGATAGAGATTAAAAAAACACAGTGGAAAATATATATAATGTGTTAATTCTTTAATTGAACAATAATTATATTCAACAAAATATAGCTTAGTGTATATTTTGAACAACTGTATATAATGGACACAGGCGAAATACGACACGTTGTAAACTGTGAATCACATTTATTTGTGTAATTAATATTTACATAATAATAAAATAAGGATCCTTAACACTCTACTCCTTGGCACCTCACAAGAACGCCCAGTCTTCTTTGTATTTCCGTACTAAAGCAATGAGAGAGGGCGCAAAGAGCTCGTGATGTCCTGCTCAGGACTAACCCCATCCCTGGTCACCAGCTTGTCGTGGTCGAGCTCAGCACAACTGTCTGCCTGCAGCCCTTGGTGGCTGCCTGAGTGGTTTGAAGGGGCCCGCAGCCAAACGCGGCTCCATTCTCTGCTCTGGCCCCTCTGCCCCTCACTGGCACCACGCTCTCCTGCAATTTTTGACCAGGAGCCTTTTAAGATACTTTGCAAACAACAAGATACTGAAATAAACACTTTTGCCATGTACATATGCTAAATACAATTGTGTTTAGAAAGGCAAGTGAAAAGATCAGGCTACTGCAAGAGGAAAACAGTGGCTTCTATTTACTTAAATACTTAATATATTCCAATTGCAAGCTAATTATCATTTTTAATGAGGCATTCTTGGAAAAAAAGTTGGCAACAAATATTAATGGGGATGATTTTCTTTTTTAAGCTTCATTCAGTTTGCTATTGTTTCTCCAGCATATCACAATGAATCTTACTTAAGCAATCACCAGACCAAGGTTTTAATCTCAAATATGCCTAATATTAGGAAGGAAAAATAAAAAGTGAGAAATCAATTTACTCCCCTTTCCTCTTTTATATAACAAAATGCCTGTTTCCTCTGTTGCAGTATCTGATAATACATGGAGAGTTAACAAAACATAGGAAAACTATCCTAATAATAATAATAATAATAATAATAATAAAAAGAGAAGTAACCAGAACTCAATGTTGAGAGTTCTGTATCTAAGTATATATTTGTTTCAACAGACAAAAAAAAATATCTGTTAACATGTACTGATACCTCCCTTGTGAGTTAAGTGGATACTATGCCTTTCAGTGTGTACACCCCCAATGGTAACTGCTCTTTGTGGTAGCCCATTACCTAACACGTTCTTTTTGTTTTTCTGGCCAAGATTAATGCAGAGCATGACATGATTTTTTAAGTAGTTGTCAGGATGAATCAGAGATTCATAAATCAAAGGTATACAAGCTCAAGTGAATGGATTTTCTTCTTCTTTGGCTTAGAAAACACTTAACATATCAACATCCTCTCCTTATGTACCAATAACAAAAGAGTRAGGTAGAATTTGCAGGCATTTGGGATGACTTAAGCCATTTTAATTGCTGAAGCACTACAGATATTTGGCTGGAGCACAGCTCCGTGCCGTGCTGCCCATCTTTGGCAGGATGCACAGCAGTACTTTATGCACTGGCACTGCACCGGGGGGCACTCGGGAGGTCTGTGCCGCACTGCCTTGGCACTGGCCATGCTGAAGAGCTGCCCAGCGGCTCCGGCTGCTTCCCGACTGCAGGGTCAAGCAGGCAGCCCAGGGGCTAATGTCAAAGCAGTGCTGCCAAGCTGCTCCACAGGGTTGCTCTGGAATGAACACACCTTAGTACAGGGAATCCCTCGTGCACGACACCTTCCTCTGCACATCACACAACTCTTCCTCACTGTAACCTGCACAAAGAGCCCCATCTTGTGCTGAGCAAAGACAGGAGGAGGTTGATGCTCAGCCTGCAGCTCGCTCCAGCTCTCTCTTGCCACCTGTATATGACGGTGGAAGACACAGCTGAGAAGCAGCAATGGAGTCGGAGAGAATAATTTCAATGGCAAGATGTGCTATTGAAGGTAAGTGCTCAACCGCCCCTTGATGATCTCCAAATCCTCCTCCTCTGTTCAGTTCTTGGCTGTGGAAATACACTTCAGCTTGGAAGCTTGATATGGAGAGCAGTAAACGTTGTCCAGGGTAACAATCTATATGCCTGGCATAAGGGATAAGAAGGATTTCAGTTCTATAACTGTGGCTTTTATTACTCAAATGAATGAACAGATCTCACCTTCTTTAGGAAAAAAAAAAAAAGAAATCTGAAAAACTGAAGCTGGGAGATAAAGGTAATTTTTTCCACCTTGACCACAGGCTGATCCTTCTCTGGCTGCTTCTAGGATGATACTGAAAACAGCCCCTTACGTTACGAATTAGCAGTCAGGCCCTGTCATAGCTGGCTGCTGCTTTAATGCTTTGTTGATTTTTGATTGAGGCTCTAAAAGGTGATGTGTTCCTAACACATTTTAGAAGGCAAGATTTAATTCCTGCTGCTTGGCAACTGCTAGGATTCAGTTAGATAAATAATTAATTGAATTATTTGAGTAGAATTCCAATTTGGGAGAAATATAGGGGCTTCTGCAAGACTTCCTATCATGATATAAGTAAGGATTTTTCTTATGTTGCATCTCAAACGAAATACTTACTCCTTACAAATAAACACACGCTTAAGCTACAGCCTCCTGAAATGAAAAATTGTTTTTGCTAAATACTATATTGCAACAGCTGCTTTTTGAGCTTTCCCATTCCAGAGCAGCAGCAGCCTAATATCATTTAAAGATATTTAAATGGCCTGGAGTCTGCATAGGCCAACTGCAAAGTTATACGTAAGAAACCAAACTGGGCAGGATGACTGTTCCCTGCAGCAACTGTTCTTTATGGGAAGTGCACTGCATTGATCTTAAATTGAAATATCTGCAAAGGAGATTACAGAGCAAACTGGCAGAAACGACAGCAATATATAGCAAGCAACAGTAATACATAGCCAATATATCGTATATTACAGGCAAAATGACTCCAAACTGTGATCTGCAGCCTCCTGCATAAGAAATGTCTCGGTGCCAGAGGACAAGAAAGGACACCAATTTCTAATGAGGTTTCACAACAGATAKGAGCAGCTAGGGATCAGGTCCTTCACAGGATTCAACTTGGGTTTCTTCACCAAAGGCTCATAGGGAAAAATGGTTGTTATAAAATATGAGGAAAAGGCCTCACATGTTAGGCTTATGTTTAAAAAAAAACATATTAGGCCTAACATGTTAAAGGCTTTAACATAAGAGGTTAAAGGATAGGATATTTGTGATCTACAACATCAAAGAACTGCTAAATACAGAAGATACTTGGGAAACAAAAATTCCTGGAGGCTGAAGGAGTCATTCTGGAGGTGAATAACTAAATATTCACCCTGCTCTTACCTTCCTGCCCGAGCAGTTACTGTCTGCCTTTATCAGAAACACAATCCCAGGCCAGACAGACCCTTGCCCTCAACCTGCAGATCAGATTTTATTTTCCTAACTAGGAACTGAAAGCTGGATCTCCCTCCGGGCAGATGAGAGATGAAGTCCAGCCCCAGACAGTGCAACTTGCAGAGTCAAGGCCAGGGGTCCAGGTAAGGCCAGAAGCCCCCCTGAGCTGCAGAGGATCAAGCAAAGCAGCATCTGCAGCCACTGACAAACAGGAAAGGATGGTGGCAGAAACAGCTCCTGCCTCTGACTTCATGAGGGCTCAGGCAGGGCAGCCGTGTGCTTCTGTGCACACCACAGAGTTGGAGCTACCAAAGCGCATATTTTTAGCATACCTATTTTTTCCTTTTTGACTCTAGAGCCCTTGCTTTGCAATGACGTAGCTGCTTCCATTTCTTTTCTCCCCTCACCTTCCTCTGTTTCCACTTCATTTTCYTTCTCTCGGTTGCAAAGCAGAGAGAGCTTTCCCTTAACTCATCCTCTCTCTGCTTCCCTGTCGCTCCTTGGCACTGTTAGTGCTCTCCTTGGTCCCTTGCCCAT